GTCCGTATGACGTATTTGGGGTAGAGATTGGTCGAAGAGAGATGTGTTCTCAAATATCTTAGGTTGGCGCGCGTAAGATTCGGAATAGGACCGTTCATCGTCGTCAATTTCTATGACTTTATTCACTCCCCTCGGTAGTAGCGGAGCGGAGCATATACTGCAACAAGAGGCACTTTCGCCTTGTGCGTGCGTGCAGAATTATTATGGCTGAACTACGAAGGGTAGGAGGCTATCAGATAGATAAAAGGACTCCTCTGCCGAGGTTTGCGGAAAACTCGATTATGCGAACAGCTCGAAGAGATATGTACGCAAACCCTTTAATGACGGAAAAATGTCCTACGCCGGGATCGAACCGGGCTGGACCTATGTCGAGTTCGTTGATAGAATCAATAGACGTGAACTAAGTGAGCTCCGCCCCTTCGTCACGAATTCGGGTAGAAACGTACAGAAACCAACCAGAATAATTTTCCCAAAATTTTAATATTTTCACTAACACATGTAGTTGACCATGTGCGTATTTTCCTGCCCCCCCAGTGCTGTTCACTTTGTACAGGTTCGGAAGATACGCTCATCAAGGTGTGGCAACTGCCATCTATATCCAACGACGAGGGAGGGCGGGGCGCTGGTGCGTTGAGGAAATGCAAGATTGAGCAAGATTGCAAGATTTGATTTAGTGTTAGGTGGTTCTTTGGAAGGCCCTCTGTGTTTGAGAGGAGGCACTTCGGGCGTATTGTCGATGGCATTTCGGGGGGAGGACCGGACGTTGATCGCGGGAAGAGCTGATGGAGTGGTAGGGATAATATGAATTCTGTGTTAAGCAACCCATTGTCTCGTTGGTTTACTTTGTATTTATGATTAGCAATATGAAATTACTCTAAGGTGGTTGATGTAGATCTAAACTGCCGACGGTCTATTCTGGGAGTTGCAGTGTATATCATGCATAGTATTAGCAGTAGCGCATGTTGATGATTTATGGTTCCCATCGACTTCGTGGCGCAATGGAAGCGCGTCGGTTTTCGGAGCCGAAGGTTGCGGGTTCAAGTCCCGCCGGGATTATTTTACGCTTCAACATTTCCTCTGTGGAAAAATGTCTGAAAATCTGAAGTCGAATTAATGCGAGTAAATCAGATCTTCTTTACTTTTCATTTTGGTAGGTATCAATGTATCGTCTACCACCCCGAGAGATGGAGTTGTCTCCCCTTTCACCGCGACGCGAAATCGCAGCGGTCGTGAAATCGGAGGAAGTATGCCGACACGAGGATGCGGTCTGGTCTGTGCGGCTTGGGAAACCGGATGATGGGTAAGTGATTTTTTCTCTAGCGGAGCGGATTTTTTTTTGTATTTTGTAGTCTCCTGGCAACTGGGAGTAGCGATGGGACGGCGTGTGTGTGGAAAATTGCAGGGCCGAATTCGGGTGGCTATGAGGCGTATCTTTGCATATCTTGAGGTTGACCGTGGTTTAGATGGAGTAGAAGATACGCCGTTCCTGCAGCTATTGGCGCAGCGGTTCAAATTGGTGGAGGAAGGGAAGACTATTGTACCGAGTGCATTGTGCTGGTAGTAGGAAATAGCTATATTGAAATCGATCACGTGATCGATTTGAGGTATCCATGTGATATGTCTAGCAAGTTGGTGATTGGATACACCGACGGTAGTGTTGCATGTGTCGACGTCCACAGTGGGAAGTTCATCAACCGCACAGCCGGGACGGAGTCGGGCGCTTCTATCACGACTTTGGAGGGGCAGGGAGGGGCGGCGAAATGTGGTAGGTTTAGCGGAGCGAAGCCATTTTTGTATGGAGAAAATCGGCGAAGCGAAGTGATTTTTTGTCGTATATTTTTTATTGCATTAGAATATTTATATTTTAGGAAGGTTTCTGTGTTGGAAAGGCGGCGGAGCGAAGCGATTTTTTTTGTATAGTTTTCATTACATTAAAATTTATATACATAAAAATACATTCCTTGTTTTCTATTTATTTATATGTTTTAAAGTCTGTGTTTGAATAGTAGCGGAGCGAAGCGATTTTTGTTGTTGTTTTTTGTCAGTGTTCGCTGGGTTTTCTGACGGCAGTATGAAAGCGATTGATGTTGATGCCAATGTGGTAGCGGGTGGAGGTAAGGAAGGCCTGACGGCTATGACGGGGTTAGCTGCGGAGAAGTGGGAGGTCACTAGCAGTTCGGTAGACGGCTTTGTGAGGTAGTAGTAGTAGGGGCGATGAAGTGCAGTGGTGCAGAAATATATGTTGGGTTGTTCAGAATTAGTGCTAGAAATGTACACAATTTTTCCTGCTGCTGCTGGTTGTTGTCAGGTTTTGGGATATGCGTCGATTGTTGAGGTCTACTAGTGAGAGTTTGAGTATGGAATCAATGGGGGAGAATAAAGATATGTTGGTGGTCCCGCGGCAGAGCATCCGACTGCGTAGTAGTAATGGGGGAGGTGGCGGGTTCGATCCCGGCATGCGTCCAATCTTAGCGTATCTTTAATCTTCCAGGTGAGTATAGTTCCCCATCCTCGAACTCAGCCCTTTTGTCACTTCACCGAATATCTAATTTCGTAGCGGTCGGTGGAAACGACGGTCGTGTAGATTTGCTCACTCCCAAGATATGAACACAGTAAGATTAAATCTTGCACACTCTTGCATTTCCTCAACGCGCAGTTGATTTCAGATGTTTGAATTTTGTGGCGCGTGACGGTTGCAGGTGGTATCATTTGTATGTGGGTAAAACAGTTTCATGGCTGGTGGTGGGTGTTTAATTGGTTGCCTTGGGAAATCTTGCAATCTTGCGTTTCCTCAACGCGAAATCGGCTGAATTTTGTGGCGCGTGACGGTTGCCGACCCTCAGCAGGTTTGGTAGTCTTGCATTTCCTCAACAGCTATTACTTTTCTTTTATGTTAAAACGGCTCGTCGCGATATGTGTGACGACTGTGGTGGGATTGCGGTTAAAAGGCAGGAAAAAATATTTTTTTCCGGGAAAATTTTGGGAAAATTTTGGAATTTTTAGATTTTGAGGAGGCGGAGGTTGGTGGAGTCTGTCCGGAAACGGTCGGACATGTGGACGCGAGCAGTCGGTTGGGAATTGACTCGGTAATTTTGTGGCGCGTGACGGAATTTCAGCATGGGAGTATCTTTTAGATTCTTTCCTGTGCGCAGTACACTCGAGAGCATGTACAAGGGAATTATGAATTTGTTAGTTATAATAGAGGAAGTAAAAATGCAGGGTGTCGGGATCGAACCGGGGACCTCTCGGATGGCGGTTTAGATACTACCTGTATGTGGAGCAACTCTTGCGAGTGCGTTGCACTGGGGGAGTGCCCTTCTGGTGACCCTGAGGTGAGGGGAAAACGCTGGGGAAATTATTCCGTTTTCGGAGTTTTTAGCGCGATCTTTAATCATCGGAAATGGGTAATTTCTCGATGACGATTATAGGGAATAACTTCGTGGAGTGTGATTGCTACTTCATAAAATTCTGTGGCGCGTGACTGTTATTGGAAATAGTTTTGTGGCGCGTGACGATTTTCGCCACATCACGTATTAGGGTGGTTGGAAGAGTGCACTAATAGTGCGTCTATTGGACACCGACTTAGCCGACAAGCCGGTCCGTTACGAAAGGAAGCCTCACATAGCCGGAGGGGATCCGGTCTCGACAGAGGACTCTGGAATAGGTAGCCGCTGGGCAGCGGAAAACTTTCGGGAAAATTCCCAATTTTTCTGGAATTTTCTAAAGACACGTGTGCGGTTTGAACCCTGGACCTCCCGTATGTTAGAATTGGTACCGCAGCAGAGCATCTTACCCGATACGGTCATCTGGAAGCTTCCTAAATACAAGAATAGTGGAGTGCGATCACGTAGGCGACGTTCATACCATCTCTCTGCCGAATCTTGAATGATGATTTAGAGTACGCCGCGCTCGCCCCGGTGATCGATGGAGATGTTAGGATGGTTGGATCTCCAGGGCTCACAGCGAAGAGTGAAGGCGGACAGTAGGATTTGGACCTATTTCGTATCTTATATGAGTGGACCTATTTTGTATCTTGTGTGGTCAACCTCAGGATGCTGATGTCGAATGACGCGACCAACTTGATAGATGTGGCTACCGATTGCTCTCACGGCAATGTGATCGAATTCCTGCAGAATTTTAAGGAATCTTGTTCGATGCGGGCGATTGTGAGGTGAGGAAATTTTCCAGTTTTTCCGGAAATTTTACCGGAAATTTCATGTTTTTGCAGATTTGCCCGAATGGCTACTGTCGCGTTCGGCATTACCATTATTCTATTATCTTGGTTGGCCTTCGGCTGTACGTCGGGATACAGAAGGAAGGTAGGAAAGAGATGCCGTAATCGATCAATCGGGCGAGCGCTTCTGTTGTCAGCTCCGCCGTGATGCTAAGGCGAGTAGAGAAAGATTAGAGGCCTTGCGGGTATTTTCGTCTAGCGGAGCGAAGTAGTTTTTCTTTCATTTTTTTGTTTTAGGCGAATATTCCGACTAAAGTCGAAGCAGGAAAAGCGGCGTGTGAGTGTTAGTACTGTATTTTTGTGGCGCGTGACGGATTTTGACTCAGCTCCTCAGCAGAGTGATGATGGTGTTGGCGGCGGTGATGATGGTGGCGGTGGATCGGTGGAAGAATCTTCGGAGGGCTCCTCTTCTGAATATGATTATAGTGATGAGGAGGATTACAGGTGAGTATCTTGAGGTCCCCTGTGGAAGATACGGTTTATGTCCACCGTGTTTGTTTTGCTGTGTTTTAATGGGGATATCGGGTTCGATTCCCAGCGGTTCCATTTTTAGTGATTATTCCAGTGAGGAGGACAGCGAAGAAGAGGGAGAGTCGGAAGAAGAGGAGGGAGGCTCCGGCGAGGGGTGAATTACGAGCTATGAGCACTTCATGATGATGATATCTTTTAGGAGTTCGAATGCCGCGTCTTCGGAAGAAGCCGAATAATGTATTTTGTGGCATGACGAAATAAAAGTTGTAGATTTGTGTTGTTGCGTTGTGTAGTTTCGGGCGACCATTATTCGACGAAAATTTTTCGGTTGAGGTTGAACTTGTGGGTAACCGGAGACGACTTCGAATACCAAAACCCGTATCCTTCATGAGAGATGCTCTTGAAAGGCTGAGGTAAGGTCTGTGATACTCGAGCGGAGAATCTTCCGACGAAGGTTCAAGGAAACGTATAATTAGTTCGTATGTGATGTGCGATGGGACTGCGCGCATTTCTCGGAAATGGTTTTTGATGGTTGCAGAGATACTTCTGTTGTGTGTAGAAAGAGTAACGATCGTCTCGTTTGGTTTCTCATCGATTACTTAGCGCAGTGGTAACGTATCTGGTCGCGGAACTGGAGGTTGCGGGCTCTACTCTCGCCGGATTATTTCACATTTCTTCAGAATATAGTTCTATGTTCTTGTCTGACGCGTCTCTCTCATCCATACATCATGTCGTGTGCGTTCCCGTCATGGAAATTGTCAACAGTAGCGTGAGCTCATAATATGTGATTCTCATCGATCTCGTGGCGCAATGGAAGCGCGTCGGTTTCCGGAGCCGAAGGTTGCGGGTTCAAGTCCCGCCGGGGCTATGTTTCGGTTACCTTCCTTGCGTTCCAGCTCCCGGTTCTATTCCTCCGCATTCGAGAATCCATTGGATGATATCGTCGTCCGACTACGATACACAATACATTCTCAACACCAGACCAATATCAGATTTCGTAGAGTTTTATACGGTACGACTACCTCGATATATCAATCACTAGAAGTGCCCTCAGTTAATATGAATTCGTCCAAATAAATACCATACTCGTCACCTCTCACCTTCTTACAATAGGTAAATAATTGGCGCTACGGCGTAGACCATTGTTGGAGATCTTCGGCTAGCAGTATGTACTTCCATCGGTCGAACATCATCGGAGGGCCTCATAGAGAGGTGCATCGCCTTTCCCAATGATTGCGTTCTTCTGGACCGAACCGCACTGTGGAGGGTCCTCAGATTTTGATGGTATTCTGCGGTTACCACAGGGATGTATTTCACATTTGTTGGTATTCCCGAACATCGCTGTGATTGCCGTTAGGCACACACAGTGTGGGGAGATATGCACATGGGCAACTGCATGACTGGCCGACGATACGAAATCTTTGAGAAACCCGCATTGGTTTCTGTACATTCTACTCGAATTCGTATACAGACTCCTATAATCAGTAAGGAAGCTCTTAAATTCAGTTGAGAAAAGCGAACATATATTCCAACACTGGGCACACGTTCTCAATTCCCGATTGATTCAGACGTGTTCTGTATTACGAGTCGTAATTTACGACTGAGGAATCCAACGTCAGATCAAGTGTTCAGAGTTTCCGATGGGAAGTCAATACTGATGATTGACTCGATCTGGAATGTGGTTGGACGGGATCGAAGACTGAATGCCCATAAAGGCGTGCATGGAGAAGCATGGGAACATGCTTAAGAGTTCAAGTGACAAGAGACTCGACGGTGTGTGAGTTAGGTCAAGATGCCAAGATGACAATTTGGTGATGATTCAACTCCTACGATTACTGAGCAGTGATACTGACAGTGTCATGCAGTCGTTCTCTGGGTACGATCCCCACTTTTTTTTATATCTATGTCGGCCCCGAGTTCCCCGCCCTCCCTGTTATCTCGTCTAGAGGTGTCCAAAATAGGGATAGATGAGCTGCGGTTGAAAACGGAGGTGAACGACGACATCTGGGGAGAGATCTGCGTGAAGCTCGGCGGCAAGAGAGACTCTATAAAATTTGTGTCCGACTTGGCCTTCGTGAGTGCGAAAGATGTGGTGAAAACAATGGATACCATTGGCGACGCCGTCCAAAAAGGTCGAATCGGTTTGCTGTATGATCTTTGTCGCGAGCAGTGTGGTCTGGCTCTAGCCATGAAAACCACCAGCCCGGCGGTAGGCTCCACAAGCTCGAATGCTGACCAGGGTGCACATTGCTCAAGCACAACCGGGCAAGGGGTCAAGCGTCTGAAGTTGAGCTCCTACGTTGACAGTAGTGATGACGGAACATTCACCCTCCTACCAGTGCAGGATTTCAGCGGACGGCTCACCCGATTCAAGGAGCTGTATGGCGAAGTTCCGGTTGACCAGACTCCTACGAGAGAACAGCTCTCAGCTCTCCAATCTCGTCTCGCGGAGGGCGATACGCCATATACTGACTTCTGCATATGGACCCCAGGTCAGAGGAAGAGACTGCGTGAAGAGAAGGTCCGTCGCTGGACAATCGATGACGGTTTTCTGACGAAGGTGCCGTCAATTAAGACACCCTCCCTCTCCCAATGGCGGGAGAGCTTTGTTATCTTTAGACATGCTATGGTTATTTTGGACCAGGGGAGCTTCGCTGACTTTGAGCGCTATAAGTTTGTGATAGAGAGTCTCGCTGACACCTTCAAGGATCACTGGAGTGTGATCTACCATGCGGACGAGCTTATGCGCAGCTCTCACGTTGCGGTGTATAAGGAGAAGAACAAAGGCATCTCCTGGGGTGCATGTTTCGTCAAGGCGGCCGACGACTCCGCCTTCTGGAGACTTCACGTCGATCATGCAGTAATGCGATTACATTTTGCGAGTCCGAGTGGCCCCTCGAAGAGATTGGATGGGAGCTCTACTCCGAGACAAAGGCCAGCAAAGGACGTAGGCCAGCAATTTTGCTTCGCATATCAAGATGGGAGACATTCTGGCGATAAGTGCAAGACGGTCGCCTCCATCTATGTCAAGGCTGTCGGTCTCAACATGACCTCCCTCGGGGACGCAACCGCTGCCCCAGGATTAATGCTTCGAAAGCAGTGGTTAGGCCAAAATCAGAAGTTCGGGTACAAAAGGATTCGCCTTCTCCAGCGCCTCCGAGAAGAGCCTGAAACTCGACTGCCAGTCCTGTTCTGTCTGCGTCTACTGCACTACCAAGATCTACGGCTATCGAGAGTGGTTTTCTATTTCATTGTACGGATGACGCTCCAGCGGCAAACAAATTTCATCTGCCGGCGCTGACTAGTAACAATGAGTTCACCACAATTCCTGAGACGGCCAGCGGCCTTCGTCGGGCGTATGATGCCACTAAGTACCTGCCAGAGGGACGCATACGGATGCAGCAGCTGCGCAAGGAGTTCGAGTCTATCATTGATCGTAATATCGATACAGTCGAGAGGGCTCTGGGGAAGGGGGGCATATTTTGTGAGTTCCCTGAGAGCATAGTTGAGGAGGCTCGCGATGCAATCATTCGACTAGGTGGCGGATCTGTCTCTGCTAAAGACATTGTGAACCCTAATACCCCGCTCAGCGGGGCCCGCTGAGGCCTGGGCTGTGGAAAGCTCTAACCGATATGTCGGGCGATTGGGATACATCCCTCAGCGGGTGGCTAATCGAAGGCGCTCCTATTGGTGTCTCGGCCGAGATACGGCCTGGTGGCTGGTTTTCGACGTCAACCGTGGCAACGACGGATCTGCCGGTGACGGCTATTGGTGACGAATCAAGAGAATGGCTAGGATGGTTTATTGGGTCTGCCGACGGAGCCTACGTCAATTACTCTTCGGCTGAGTCCGATCCAGCCAACACCTGGGCCCTACTAGACGAGGAGAGGAAGGCAGGCTTCTGCACGTTCTACGACTCCTTCGACGACCTAGCCGTGGCTGTTGGCAGCAGGGATGTGATAGTCACTAAGATTGCGCTGGCAACAAAACCTAACACAGACCCCCCCAAATATCGATTGATCTGTGATGCCAAGGCCAACAGCCTGAATGAGGTGGTACACTGTCGTGAAAAGATTGTTCTCCCAAGAGTCTCCGACGTTGTGCAGAATATCCACGAGCTCATGGAACCAGCAAGAGGAGCCAGCGACACTGCCCGCGATTGCTGGTCCGAAATCGAGTTCTTGGCCGCTGACTTTCAGAACGCCTTCAAGCTCATCCCAGTCCAGAGTATGGAGCAGCGAATTCAAGTATGCTACTTCCAGGGGCGTTGGATCCTCTTTCATGTTCTCATGTTCGGTGTCCGAAGTAGTCCCCTGGTATGGTGCCGTTTCTCGAGCTGTGCATGTAGATGGGCACAGCTCCTCTATACCCCTTCCGAGGGCAGGATTAGCTGCTTCGTGGACGATCCCCATATTACGGTTCGTGGTCGGTCATCTCGGATCAGAACGAGGCTCATCGCTCTCCCGATTCTGCTATGGATGGCTATAGGATTCCCCTTCAGCTTCCACAAATTTCAGCGTGGCTCCGCCGTGACTTGGATTGGATCTCAGTTTGCCGTGGCGAACGGGAGTCTCCGCGTATCTATTCCCTTGGAGAAGCTGGAGGCTATGGCGAAGATTACTTCTCAAATTCTGGGATTCAGGAGAGTGGTCAGTTCAAAGCTGCTCCGTAGACTGTGTGGAAAGCTATGCTGGTCCGGCGGGGTAATCCCATGGGTTCATGCCCTCTTGGCACCCATGTGGAAGGCCCTAGGGGGGAAAAGCGAGGAAAGCTCACAGTGGATCCTCATTGCCGGTATTCGCCGTTCGTTACTCTGGTTCAATACTATGTTGACCGCGGCCACAACAGCTGCCGGGTCGCATCGTTCTCGTCTATTCGGGAGGGAATTTGTCCCTAAGCGCCGATGTGTATCCATGGTTATCACCGTCGATGCGTCGCCGTGGGGTTTAGGTGGCTATTTATCTCTCAGCGACCGCTTTGGACTTGATCGGATCATCGCCTTCTTCTCGGATAGTATCTCAGAGCTAGACACAACGAGATTCCAGGCCAAGGTCGGCGACCATAGATTCCAGAGTCTGTGGGAGGCTCTGGCCTTACTAGTGGCCGTCAGGCTATGGCGAAGATGGTTACCACCGGCCGCCTACTTTCGGTACCGCAGTGACTCCCGCTCAGCGATTGGTGCAGCGCTGAAGTTACGGTCGAGGTCCCCTAATATGAACATGGTAATGGCGGAACTTGCTTGGGAGTGTGCGTGCGATATGAGAGTTCTGGAGATGTCATACTCACACATTTCGGGTGACAAAAATGGACTGGCGGATTATCTGAGCCGTCTTCCCAAGCCCGGCTGAGCTCCTCTCCTCTCCACGTCCTGCTGAGCTGAGCTCGGTGATCGAGAGTGTATGTCCTCCTCGTGATGCAAGGTTCTGGAAGTTGGATGTCCACCCCTGTGTAGAGCGGGTGTCTTAGTCTGCGTGTTTCGGGTATATGGATGCCATCCATTGGATGGTCTACCTGCACGGAGCGCTGTACCTCCATTCCTTGTGCCATCCTCTATTCTTTTTTTTGCCCCCTCTCTTGGTCGTTCGTCTCATCGGAGTTCGATGGTTAGACGTCTAGTCGTTGCGGTGTACTACGGGTTGTAGTCAGCAGCCATCATTGGATGCTCGGGATGAGCGTGAATAACTTTTTCCCTCATTTCAAGGCGGGTGGCCTTGCGTGAAACGAGTGTTACCTAACGGGAGTGGCGGGTGGCCCTCCCTCGGATGGGTCAACGCTGTTGAGTGATACAGCCGATCGGCGGGTTGCCAAGGCTTCGCCTAGTGTAGCATTCTGTGCTACGGCGCGTTAACCACAGTGCGAGCAGGACCGCCTCCACTGATGTGGGCCTGTCGGGGCCGTTTGGGCGTGAGCAGGTCAGTTACGGCGTTTACTCCTGCGGTGGCTCATGTCTTAGTCCCTCAGTAGGGTTGCTTCTCCTATCTCCTCATGCTCTTCCCATCCCAGATGCGCAAGCGAGGTTCGTGGAAGCGAGCCCATTACCTTTCGGAGCCGGCTAACGTGAGTGAGCTAGAGCGGGCCGTTTCTACTATGCGCAAAGCAATGCTAGCCGAGAGTACTAAGGCCACATACCGATCTAGACTAAAGTTGTGGGAGGAGATGAGCGGGAAGATGGGCTTTGAGCCGTTTCCTCTAGATGAGAAGAAAATGGAAAGAATAACAGCAGCGTTGCGGGAGGCCAACTACAGATCGGCGGCTGACTATTTGTCGACGGCTATCGCCTTTAACGAGTTATTGGGTTATAAACTATCGAGTTGTCAGCGCGCATATGCGCGGAGGATTAAGACCACCTGCGAGCGCCATATTGGAGGGCCAAAGCAGGCCGAGCCATTGACTCTAGGGGTGCTGATGAGTTTATGCAAATCGGCCTCCGGTTTCTTCGCCAAGCAGCGAGCAGCGAGCTACGTCCTGGGGTCATGGTTTCTTCTGCGCGGAGACGAGCTCCTGAGTCTGAAAGTGAGCCATGTGTCGATCGGACAAAGGAATACTAGCGTGTCTATCATAATCGAAGGCTCGAAGACAGACCAGCGGTTATGTGGTGAGAAGAGGCAGCTAGGTGCTATCTGTACCCAGGAGGGGGATGACGTTGGGTTGATATGTCCCGTACGTGCCGCGGCATACCTACTCCAGTCAAGAAATCAACAAGGGGCCGCACCAGACCATCTACTGTGTACAAATAGTAAGAGCTGCAGGTGGACTCAGAAGGAGTTTCGAAGGCTATTGAAGGAGGACCTGGCAAAAGCCGGGATACAAGGATGGATAGGTTACTCTCTACATAGCATGAGAGCCGGCGGGTGCCAGTGGCTACTCAGGGCGGGAATCGAGCGGAACAAAGTGAAGAAGTTTGGTCGATGGCGCAGTGATTGTATCAATCGGTACGCCCGGAGGCCTACATAGCCGATAGTCTGGGGTATTCTGCGACTGTGGTGGAATCACAGGGAGCCGAACCCGCTAAGTCGTCGGGAGCCGCAGGGACGGGCGGAGATGTGATCGGACGACGAGAGCACCAGACGGACACGCCGGGTATATCGAATGCGAAAAAGGATTGGATAGTTGAGTCTATGCAAGGCGATGTCCACCCTTGGCTGAGCTAACCGGGTTGGTGGTTTGGGCAGGTATTATTGAACTACTCGGTTAGATCTCTCTCTGTACGTCACTACTTTGGCTACTTTCTGAGGTCTGTAGGTTACTCATCGTAGTTCAATGTTCCGGTTTGCAGCCAAAGGTGGGTGAGTCGAGTTACCGACTCAAGGGTGGGAAAGTCTGAGTAGTGTATGGGAGAGTCGCAGCTAACTTGAAGACGATGGGAGCAAAATATCAGTAGCCGCTAAGCTGCCAACTGAAGTACACAAAGCAACTTGAGCGACATTGAAATACTCATTATTAAATGGGGGAATTCGATGATTACATTCGCCATTACGGAGAGATCGTTGCTTCCATGGGACCATCCGCATCATCCTGTACATGGGATACGGGTGATAGCATTCGAACATGCTCATACCGTCGGTACATCGGATGATTCCGAAATTCCAGCGGTGGAATATTATCGGATCATCAAGTGAGAGATGCTTGCCATCCTTAGAAATCGTCGCCACTATCTTATAATTTCCTGGACGATGTAGAAAGTAGCTGCCACCACAGCATTCCATCGCCAGTGAGTCCAGCTCAATGGTGTTACTCATGAGGTGGCATTTCAGTTCCTGAGATTCCACCAGCTTATCTGTTCTCATACTGAACAGCATCGGATTGGAGTCCAATCCGAGTCCAATCATTGGACATCCTCACCACGTCGATCCGGACAGAAATTCTGTCACGGAATAACACTTTTATACGTTGCTACAGAACTTGTGAGATCCGAAAGTCTCGACCTCGAAGTTCTGTCGAAAGTTTCACCGGAACTTGCAACTTTAAATGCTTCGCTCCGCATAAGTAGCAGCGAGGTAACGGGATTCCCTCGTCTGCCGCAGAGGGTCAACTCGATGCTCTGGGCCAGAGACTCTGGCTGAAGTTCCTCGCTTGACTACTCATGCCTCCCAAACCAACTTAAACCGGATGCGAGTGGGAGGGTTCAGGGAAGTTCCCATTAACTTAATGGTAACTGGATGTTAATCGATCCAACACTTCCCAACCACAATACAAACCATTCGCTCGTTTGTTGACCTAGCCCAATAAATTGACCTTCGTTCATGCACTATGCGCAGTTCTGTAGGTCTAGTCGTTGCACATGTAGAATCTGAAAACACC